CTCATCTCATCTCATCTCATCACCTCTTCTCATCTCATCTCATCTCATCTCACCTCACCTCACCTCACCTCATCTCACCTCATCTCATCTCACCTCACCTCATCTCATCTCACCTCATCACCTCATCTCATCTCATCTCACCTCACCTCATCTCATCTCATCTCATCACCTCTTCTCATCTCATCTCATCTCATCTCATCTCATCTCACCTCATCTCACCTCACCTCACCTCATCTCATCTCATCTCACCTCACCTCATCTCATCTCATCTCTTCATTTCCTCAGCCCCTCACCTCCATCCCTCCTCACCTCCATCCCTCCTCAGCTCCATCCCTCCTCAGCTCCATCCCTCCTCACCTCCGTCCCTCTAAGTATTTCGCACATAGAACCCAATGCCTCTTTTCCCGCTCTGGAATGCGCTCACACCCTCCGTGCTCCAGCATGCTGTCTTCAACCCAAACCCTGGCACCTAGCCATGTGCCAGGACAAGCCAGCGCAGTGATGGTCTGACCCAGAGGCCCGATGGCAGGCACAGGGCCCGGGGGCCTGGCTGAGCTCCTAGCCGGTGCTCTTGCCTGGTAGAGACCATCTGGACAGACACAGGTCCCAGGAAAGCTGGCACCCACAGGTTTGAGCAGGGTTCTGTGGGTGCACGGGAACTGCCCCTCGCCTGTACTGGGCTGGGGGTCTGAGGGGGATGGGGAGGAGACCTGCGTGTTGCTGTACCTGCCCCTGTGCTTGCAGGTCAGGACGTGGCTGGCCATCCTGGAGCCCAAGATTGGAGACAGGCGTGCTGGCTTGGGCTGGGCCCTGCTCCCATATGTTGGCTGGGACACGCCCTGCACAGCGCTGCCCTCGCCTGGGCCCCTTGCTCGGGACGCAAGCCCACGTCCAGAGCTACCCTGGTGAGGCATGCGAAGGCCGTGTCCCACTGCACTCCCACTGCGCCCATCCTCTGCCCCAGCCCCTCCCTGGCCTTCTTCAGACAGAATTCAGGGTGCTGGCAGAGCGGGGTGTGGAGGGAGGCCCCACAGCTGCTTCCTGACCAACAGCGCCAGGCTGGGTGTGAGCCATGCCCCCCCCCCGCCAGGGGCTCCACCCATATCCGTCCACATCTCCAGTCTCAGCAGGTCAGAGACACCTCCATGCTGTCCAGAGAAAGGCCAGCGTTCCTGGTCTCAGTTCAGAAGCCACTGGCCCCAGCAGCCCTCCCAGGCCCACCTCCTGTGTGCAGATACAGGGGTCCCTGTGGAACACACGCACAGCCAGGCCTGGGACACGCGACAGGAGGTCAGCGGCGCCGGCCGTCCCTACCTTGCCGCACGGAGACGTAGCGGTGGTTGGCGGCCAGCAGCACCACCTGCGGGGGGCTCTCCTCCAGGTCGAAGAGCTCATCCTTGCCCGGCCGCGCGCTGCGGCCGGCCTTGAGCGTGCCCGCCGGCCCCACGGGCGCCAGGTAGCGGCCCTCACAGTCCTTGAAGGCCAGCTTGCCGGCCTTGAACTCCAGCGTGTAGCAGGCCCGGGCCTCGGGCTCCCAGACCAGGCAGCCGTCGCTGCGCAGGTAGCGGCTGTCGCAGGACTTGAGGCAGTAGCGCCGGCTGCGGAAGATGAGCGTGAGCAGCGCGTCCACACCCCATGGCATGTCGCCGTCCGCCAGCATCTCGTCGTCCTGCCGGCTCAGGTGCACGTAGCGCCGCCGGCTCACGCTCAGCAGGTGCGCCTGGGGGTGGATGGCCAGGTGCACCGTCCACAGCTCTGCCGGGGAGATGGCTGTGGCGAAGCAGGAGAGCTGGTCCTCGGTGCCGCCGAAGAAGCGGCCGTGCGGCTCCGACCGTAACGCCCACCGCCCGTCGGGCTGGGGCAGGACCAGAAAGCGGCAGTCGCGGCCTGGGTGCTCCGCCTCACAGGCCACTCGCCCGTCCTCTCCGGCCGACAGGTAGCGGCCCAGATGGCTGCTTCGGAGGAGCACGGCCGGGCCCTGCCCGGGGTCGGGCTCCAGGACCCAGATCTGCTTCCTCTTGAGGCTGGGCGCAGAAGCATTGACCTTGAAGCCGAAGCTCTCTGCCGTCAGGTAGCGGTCGGTGTCATTGAGGAGGCCAAACTGGATCTTCAGCACCTGGTGCAAGCCATTGGTCGGCATTGTCGGGGCTGGCCAAGTCCCCTGTGGGGCCTAGGAAGCTCCCCCCTGGGCTCCCCCAGAGGCCCAGCCGGCGTCATGGACCCGTGGCCCACTCCTGCATTACTCTCGCCCCGCGGTCATGGCCACCGGGCGGGTCTTACATGGTCAGCAGGCGTCGGAGGGGGCAGGGGGGTGGATCAGGGCTGCGGCTTAGGAGCAGTGGCGGCTGCCTTTCAGGACTCCCAGCTTGGATTTCAGCAGCTCCTGAAGAGCCCTGAGGCTGAAGCCCGCTGCTCTGCGTGGCCGGAGCGGCTGACCACCTCTGGCCTCCACCTGCTGCAGCCTGGGTCCTGGCTGGGGCCCTAGGCCCCCTCGTGGGCCCTCGCACCTCCTGACCCCTCCTCCTGCCTGCTTCAGGGGCCCTCAGACCCCCAGGCCTCCATCAGACCAGACCAGCTCTTTCCTGGGGTAGAAAAAGCCGCCCAATGGAAAACTCACAGCGGAGTGGTAACCAGATCGCAGCCCTCCGCCCGGCACCAGGCCCTCCCCGGGATCCGGTTGCTGCTTCTCTGATTCCTGCTGCCAGGAGCCAGCGGCCCCCTCCCCAGCGCCCCGTCCCCAGTGGCCCCTTCCCCAGCGGCCCGCAGCCCCCACTCACCTCTGACCTGAGGTTCTGGCCCTGAGGCCTGTGGCTGCCCTAGGGGCCCCACCCTGCCCTGCCGGGGCCCCACCCCTCAGCTCAGGAAGGGGGTGGAGGGTGCTCGTCAGGTGCAGGGCTGGGCCCAGGACCCCAGGCCCTGGAGCCAGGGCTCAGCCTGCCGTGTGCACCATCGCGGCTGAGTGTGCCCCAGTCCAGGCTGCAGGTGCAAGGCCAGGGCCCTGGGCCGCCGTGGGCCCCGCTCAGCTTGGGCCTGGCCCTTCTCGGAAGGCAGCTCGGGGAGTCCAGCCGCCAATGGCCTTCTGCACACTTTCTGGGTGTCCGTGAGGGACCTACGCTGCTGCCCGACTTTAGGGTTTCTGCATACTTGGCTCCTGGGGGCCACTCAGGGCCAAGTCTACTCCCTGGACTCGGAGCAGGACGGGACCGCGGGGGCCCAGGGACGCTCTGGCCCCCCAGCTGCACACTCCCCGCTCTGAGACGGAGGGCATCTGTGGGGGCTTCCATGTGCCTGCAGCGTGTCTGCCTGCCGTGGCCCGCACCTGCCTTGGGGGCTGAGAGCCAAGGAGGGAAACCCAAGCTGCCCGTCCTGGGCCCAGGCCAGACTCACGTCCGCTGCCCCATCAAAGCGTGCGGCCCTCGCGCTCCTGGAACCAGGAACAAGGGTCCACACGGGCCACGTCTAGGCAGGCCCTGCCACCCTAGGCCGGCCCCGGCCCCGGCCCCGCAGGGGAGACCAGCCCAGGACACCTCCTTGGAGCATGTGCAGAGGGACGTGTCAGACTCCAAGAAGGGGCTCAGGCTGTGCTGTGCCTGCCAACCTGTCCTCAGCCCCCCTGCAGGCTGCCTTCGGCCTCTGTGACCCACACAGCGAGGAGGCCGTGTGCAGCCAGGACACGGGCCGGGCCCTGCCCTGGAGCGGACGTGGGGTGGATGCAGGGCCTTCCCAGAGAGGAACCCCGTGCCTCCGTGAGACCCCCCAGCCCAGCTCCTAGGCCTGGCTCCCCACTGGGACGTGCCCACCCTCGGCCCCAGCCCAGCTCCCAGGCCTGGCTCCCCGCTGGCAGGTGCCCACCCTCGGCCCCCAGCCCAGCTCCCAGGCCTGGCTCCCCGCTGGGACGTGCCCACCCTCGCCCCCAGCCCAGCTCCCAGGCCTGGCTCCCCGCTGGCGGTGCCCACCCTCGCCCCCAGCCCAGATCCCAGGCCTGGCTCCCCGCTGGGACGTGCCCACCCTCAGCCCCCAGCCCAGCTCCCAGGCCTGGCTCAGTGGGTCTGTGCCCCCACCGCAGGTGCCCGCACTGCCGGGGTGTCGACACTAGCCACTCCTCGGCCCTGTCCCCCAGCTGGGCTGCACGGGAACCTGGACGCCTTGTCTCTGACCAGCACGAAGGCCTCATCAGTGCTGAGTGGCACTGGCAGCCTCCAGGCGCTGGGCAGGCGGAGCCTGGCCCTGGGCCTCTGGGTGGCAGAGCCCAGCAGCAGCAGTGGCCTTCCAGTTTTTTCCCTTTATTGGCCATACTGGGAATTGAACTCGGGACCTTTTGCTTGCTAGGTAAGCTTTCTACCTTTGGGCCCCTCAGTTTTGAGGCTCCACAGCTTTGAGTCGGATGGGGCTACTGGCACAGACCCAAGCATGTGAACTGAAGAGTGGGGGTTCCTAGGCCCTGGGGTCGGGCAGGCGGTTTGCACAGGTTGCTTGACCCCTGCTTCCCAAGTCCCCTGGGCTCGGGCGCAGCTGGCTCGCGGTGTGCAGAGCTTCGGCTTGGGAGTCCCGGCGAGGCTCCCAGCATACCACCGGGGCTCACCGAGCGCGGGAGGCTGGCTTCTGTGCAAGAGGCAGAGGCTCTGCAGCAAGACGCAGAGCCGTGCACGTGTGCCTGGCCTGGAGGGTGTGTGGACAGCCCCAGGGCCAGCCTGGCCGCGGAGACACTCTCCTAGACCTCAGCCCCGGAGGGTGGCCAGGTCGCGTTGCTCACAGACGCTCAGCACCCCTCCCTCGGGGCAGTGTCTGCGGCTGTGGCCTCCCAGCCTGTACTCCAGGAGCTCAGGGCTGCTGCCACTCCATGAGCCCGAATCGCCTGGCCTGCCCTGGCAAAGGGCCCCGCCGGGCCGGCCCGCAAGGCTGCCTGACTCACGCCGCTATTTGCTTGCCTGGGTCCTCATGGCCACAGATGGGCCAGAAAGCAGGGCCCATCGGCTGACAAACTCCCCCAGCAGACAGCCCTGAAGCCTGTTCCTCTTTGGCGAAGGGATCACTGGAGGCCGAGCGCAGAGCCTGAGGCCCCCAGACCCATCCTCTCCCCCAGGGCTCTTAGGAAATGGCAGCCTCCCTGGGATATGGGAGGGCGGGCCTCTTGGCCCCAGGAGGGTCTCCTTACTGGTGGCCTCTGGCCAGTCTTCCACCAGCACCTCAGGCCCGGGCAGTGGTGTCCAGCCCGGCCCCTGCTACATTCTGCCCACAGCCATGGCGACCAGCACATGCACAGGGCCGGACGCCTGTCAGCACGGACGCTGGCAGCATGAGGGCACAGGCCCGCGTACTCAGGGCAGCATAGTGCCCTCCTGGCTGGCCTCTGGCCCAGGATACTGGAAACAGAGCCTGCAGCCCTGGACCCTGGGCTGGCCCCACCCCTGCCTTGATTGACACCTCTGCTTGTCCATCCAGGTGGCTGCCCCCTGCTGAGCTGTCACCAAGTTCCCGGGACCTGCAGTGCTTCTGAAGGGCCCTGGGCGCTGGGCAGGGCGCCTGGCGGGCACCTCATGAATTGTTCATGGCGGAGCTCTGCTCCTAGCAGTTCCATTTACACACAGGCAGGCGTGGTTTTCTTACTCTGGCCTCGGTTGGTTTACCGGGGCCTGTGGGCCTGGTTTAGGGTGACAGGCTCCCTTCAGCAAGGTGGGGGGGCACTCGGTGCTGGACTGCTCAGTGCCAACCCCCCGCCACCCCCCACCCCAGCAGGGCAGCTCACGGAAACTCCTACTTCTGCTGGAGCTCAAGGCCCTGGGTTTTGGTCTCTAGAGTTGCACACATGCACAAAAGCTACTAACTACTCAAGATGCCTGTTTCCCGGGTTCATTCCCTCCCCCACAGCGGGGTGGCACCTTTTCTAACTTGGTCAGTACTGGGGTTTGAACTCAGAGCTCACGATTGTCTGCCTTTGCTCTCTGCTGTGCTCCAGCGCAAGCTGTTCTATTAAATACGGAATGTCAGGGGCTGTGTGTGTGTGTGTGTGCGTGTGTGTACACTGGTCCTGGGTCTGGAACTCAGGGTCTGGGCACTATACTTGAGCTTGTTTTGCTCAGGCTGATGCTCTACCACTTGAGCCACAGCTCCACTTTTGGCCTTTTGGTGGTTAACGGGAGAGAGTCTCACAGACTTTCCTGCCTGGGCTGAGTTCAACCCTGGATCCTCAGATCTCAGGTCAGAGTAGCTAGGATTACAGGCGTGAGCCATCACTTTCCAGGGCTGGCTCTGAATACTGATCCTCTCATTTCAGTCTTTGGGTAAGAAGGATTTACAAGTGTGAGTCACGTATGCCTGACTTGTCTCCAGCTTTTGTGCCTGTAGAGCCACAATATTTGCTTTTTTGTTATTGTTGTTGTGGGACCTGAACTCTGGGCCTGGGCGCTGTCCCTCAGCTCTTCAGCTCAAGGCTAGCGCTCTACTACTTGAGCCACAGCACCAGTTTCAGCTTGTTTTGCTTATGTGGTGCTGAGGAATCAAACCCAGGGCCTCATGCATGCAAAGCAAGCGCTCTACCATTGAGCCACCTTCCCAGCCCAAGCCACAATGTCTGGCAGCCCCTCTGCCTAGGCCTTGCCTGGAAAGAAGAGGGAGCCCGGAGTCCTTTGTCCTGCTGGAAAGCTAAGGCTAGCAAGTGTGTGACCAAAGAGTCCCAGCACAACCCAAACCCCAAGCAAGAAGGTGCATGCTGGACCGTCCAACGCCGGAGGCCTTGGCACACACAGCTCCATCTCCTCCAGGACAAGCCTGGAGGGAGCTCGCCCAGCCCTGGTCACCCTCAGGCCGGTGCAGGGGCTCGGCCGGCCTGGAGGGGCAGCAGCTCCTGGCCTGGGCGGGCACAGCTGGGTGAGGGGCAGGGTCCAGTGCTCAGTGCTCAGGACCCGCCTGCTGGTCGGCCCAGGAGACACAATCCCGTTCCAGCCTCAGCTCCTGCGCCCATACAGGGGCGCCACCTTCTGGCCCTGTCCTCAGGTGCATGCCCACAGGAAGGGGCTCTGGTCCCAGCCAAGGCCTATCCGGGCGCACTGAGCACCGCCCTGCGCCCACCCTGTGCCCACCTGTCCACGTCCGCCGTGAGGCCTGAAAAGGTGCCCCGCCCTGTCTACCTGCACAGGCCAGGCAGGCAGACACACACACACACACACACACACACAGGGCCCGGGTGCCGGGTGGCAGGCAGACGGGCAGCCCTGACAGTGACCAGGGCAGATACAGATACGGCACCCGCATCTGGGTGCGCTGAGTTAGGCTGCTCTGGATGGCCTCTCTGCTCTGCTCTGACACGCTTCCTTTTAGCCAGGCCCTGACTCCCCTGGAGGCAGATTTCCCTGGGAGATGCCGGTCCCTAAAGGGCACAGGGGCAGCAGAGCGGACAAGCAGGGGTGAGAGGTACACAGCCAGCCCCGCCCTGCACTGACCCAACAGCGGGCGCGCCCTTAGATCGGGGCCACGCCTGGGAGCCAGGGTCAGCAGGGGCTGTGCCCCAGTGCCGGCCCTCCCCCCACCCAGCCCCTCCCTCCAAAAGAGGCCAGGTACCCCTTCAGCCCCCCACCTGGCATTGTCTTCCTCCACTCTGGGCATGGGGGTCATCCTGAGGACACAGGCAGGGTGCAGGGTGGAGAGGCGGCCTCCAGCCTTGTCCACCATGCCTTGCCTCCGTCCCGGGCCGAGCCAGGGCTTCTGGAGGAGGCCCAGCTGTCTCTGGCCTCCGTAGAGTTCGTGGAGCTGGTGTGGTGCTAGCCTGCCTGCCTCCACCCGCCCCCCCCAGCGAGAGACGGGGGTAGCCACACCTGCCCAGCTGGGGGTGGGGGGGGTGGAGGCTGGGCTGCCTCCCCCATGCGCAGAGGTCCTTCCTTCCCTCGCTGCCTGTCAGGTTCCAGCTCCGACTCTCCATCCCCCCCCCAGTTCCCCACATGCCAGGGTCCAGCTGTTGAGGGAGGTCTGTGCCACAGCGCCCCGGGACCCCAGTGCTGGGGACGTGACAGGGCCAGCCTGTGGGGAGGCGGCCAGTGCAAAGGGACAGCCAGATGTGGCCAGAGGCCGGTGAGTGAGGACGCCAGTGGAGGGCAGGGAGGCCCGCAGAGCCCCTGTGCAGAGGGCAGGGGCTCCTGCTCTCCATCGTGAGGGGCATGGAGGCCAGCGGCAGCCGGTCCTGACCTGCAGCGGGGCCTGAGCAAGGGAGGGACGGAAGCTGGCTTGGGAAGACCGCAACTTCCGGGTGCTTGCCTTCGGGAGGGACGCGGCTGAGGGAGCAGGTGACACGGCCTTTCTCACCAGCCCCGCAGCTCGGGGGCGAGTGTAGACCGCCTCTCAGGGGTGAGGCCGTGGGAAGCAGCGAGCCTCGGGAGGCCTCCCAGCCTCAGGCCCGGCCCCTACCCTCCCCAAGCCAACCGCAAGGGTGCCTGGGAGGTGGAGGGCTGGTGTCCGTGCTGGAGCTGTTCCAGAGAAAGGCCCCTGCTCTGCAGCCCTGAGCCGCTGCACCCTCGCCCGCTGGCCGAGGCGGGGCGTGGCACAGGACCCGGAGCCCCGGTGCTGCCGTGTGGGGCCAGCTCTACATCCTCCCAGACACCTCCTGACTCTGCTGCACGACGGAGGGGCAGAGGGGGACTCTTCTCCACAGCTTAGGGGAGACCTTGGCTAACTCCCAGCCTGCCAAGATCCACGTGGGGCGCCTGCACGGCCCTGCAGACCTTCTGACCCAGTGCGTGACATGCCCTGGGTCTGGCTCACTTGCCTGGCCCCGAGCGTGCCTGTTGCCCCACCTGGCTCCCAGTGTTGGCGCTCTCTGTGAGGCCCCAGCTGGTGGCCTGAGTCCACTCAAGTCGGGCGTGACCACGCAGCCCGACTGCTGGGTTTCAGAACTGGCAGAGAAGAGGCGCGGGACCCTGGCCCCACAGCCCACGGCCTTCAGCCCAAACTCAAGAGTAGCCAAGCTGAGCAGCCGGGGGAGGTGGCCGTTGGAGGACACTGCTCCCAGGGCCCAGTCTCCATGGGCCCTGGAAAGAACTTCAGCCAGCAGGTAGGTGACCTCTGTACAACTGGCAACTGGAGAAGCACGCTGAGTCAATAAACTCTTTTCAGTGACTCTTAAGAATTTTGCCTTGTATTTATTTTTCCATCAGTCCTGGGCTTGAACTCAGGGCCGGATGCTGTCCTCAAGCTCTTTTGCCCAAGGCTAGTGCTCTACCACTCTGAGCGACAGCGCCTCCTCCAGCGTCTGGGTTTTTGCCACTTTGTTTTCTGGAGGGAAGAGCCTCACAGACTTTCTGCACTTGGGCTGTCTGAGCTGCAATCCTCAGAGCTCAGCCTCCCGAGTGAGCTGGGATTACAGGTGTGAGCCACCAGCGCCACACTCAAGTTTATTTGTTGCAAGATTATTTTGGAATTACAGGAAAGTCGCTAGGCCAACCTTCCCTCGTCCTCTTCACGCGTCTGAGTGGCAGACACGTCTTCCAGGACGTCACTGGAGCGGTTAGCCTTAGTACTTACAGCCTGGCTCCAGACCCGGGCTTGGCTCTCACCAGCTCTCCTGGTTCAGAACCGGAGCCTTGGTGATAGGAAGGAGCTGGGGCCTCCAATGGTGGCCAGGAGAGGCCGAGGGGCCAGGGCAGGTGGAGCAGGTGCTGGGCCCGTGGTGCAGAAGAGAAGAGGAGGGGGCTGAGGTGGGGACGGAGGCAGAGGAGGAGGAGGATCTGGTGGGAAGGCCCCGGGCAGCGTCAGCCTGGCGAAGCAGCAGAATGCAAAGTGAGAAGCACAGCACAAGGACAACAAAGGGCCTCCAGCCAGCGCCGGCAAGGGCGCCGGAGCCCGCGGCGGGCACACCCACACGGGAAGTCGCCGTCGCTGCCCCTCGGTCCCCGGGACGCCGGCCG